AGTGCTTATTCTACTGAGCTTCCTCTCTGGCCCCTATGATGCTTCTTTAATGAGACCTTTTTTTCCTGTTTTGTGTATGTTGCAGTTGGAGTGTTTGAACTTATAGGTCTTTGCTTGACTTACACAATAACAGTACTAAGGAAAAGTACTGTTAGAACACCACCTTGTAGATTATTATGTGAAATGCTATAAAATGAGGTTTTATGAAATCCAGTCTGTATTTAGCTCAGGCATTTATCTATCTCTTATAGAATTTTAACAAACAGTAGTCACTCTGCCAGCTATTAAATGCTCTTAGAGCGGGTGTTACTCTTAAAGTAGAAGATAAGTTTCCCCTGAATCTTTTGGTGAATCTCCACCAAGCCAATGGCCAATGGAGTGTTTACCAGATGGGCAGCTGGTTTCCTTTCTCCAATCTCTGGTTGCAGCAACCAGCGGAAACTGAGAAGACACTGAGGCATCATGGCTAGGGCTATTCACTGGTGGATATGCAAAGGTTTCTTAGTGGAAGTTGAGTCCCAGCAGCCCAAGTAGGCAACCAGCAGAAAAATCATTTATTCTGTAATCCCCACTTTCACTCCTCAGTGAGGTGAGAGGTAGCTCAGTGATCTGGTATCCTCTGCCCCAAAGTGAACAGAGGGAATGTTATTTGAACCCTTTCTTAAAGCCTGTGTTGAGAGATGAGATACAGGTTTGGGCTTTCCTTTCTCTTCTAGTAAGTTAGAAATTCATTTTTCTCAAACTTGCTGGGAATTAACTTTACAACCACCCTATTCTTAGACTACCCTTCCCTCCATAAATCAGGCTGAGACTGCTTGCAACAACTGTTGGGCTTTCATAAAGAAAAAGCAGCTATCAGGAAAAATTTACCTTTGTATCTGTATGTGCTAAGAGTAAGAAATCTTTCACATATCTGTAGAAGACTAATAGATGTGCCTTTACTAACGTGAATTATGGTTGCTCGGTGACAAGTATAAGTTTAACCTGTAAGCTTTAGAGACATAGAAACTTAAGAATTTTTTTTAAAATTTTTTTTTTTTTTTGCCAGCTCAGCCCACCCTGAGGGTGGGGCTGGCATGGCAGTGTGGAGCCTGGGATTGAACAATGGTCCCCTGCGCCTGCCTAAGCTTGCCTAAGTAGGCACTTTAGACCACTGAGCTATCTCATCAGCCCTAGAGTCAGTTTTAAAAGGAGTAGTCTTGTCTTAGTGCCAAGGAAGGTAGGATAGATGATTAAGCAAATAACAGGAAAGTCTTGGATATTTTCACACTAGGTCCCAAGAAAGGATATGTCTTTGAATCATTTTATCAGATTATTTTATCTGATTTTGTCCTCTACGTCTAGAGGGCATTTCTTTTACAGACTGAGAAGTGTTCCGGTTACTTCCAACTCATTCTTTGGTGTGTGTCCTCACTTTCAAGAGCCAGAAAGTAGTGATTCAGTGCTAAGCAATGTTTCCTTCTTTAGACATGACTGTTATAGTTGAGATCAAGTATACCTTGTACTTTTAAAAAACACCTACTGGAGTTAAGAATCCGAGTTCCTAGGGAAGACAGGATGGTGAGTTGGTATAAGGTGACTAGTCTGACCTGGCCTGACTTCTGGTTCCTCTCCAGATGGCTGGCACCTTCTCTGGAGTGGATCACCTCAGGACACATTGGAGATGTAAATATCAAGTAGAATTTAAAGGGATGCCAGATAGGTAGGTACATAGGTAGGTAGGTAGGTAGGTAGAGATTGATTGATTGATTGATTTTTTTTTGTTGATATATTTGTTTATAAAAATTTGTATAGAGTTCAGATCATACATCATATTGTGAAATAAAGACTCTCGTATCCTAGTTTTTCATGTTACATCATTATTGTTTTTCAGATTGCTCTGTAATTTCCAAAACTATTTTTAAAATTTACTTAATGTTTTTCACAGTACTCCATCATATGTGGATGTGCGATTGATTTTTTTTTTTTTTTAAGAGAGTCTTACTATTTAATTCAGGCTGGTCTTGAACTTACTTACATAGCCCAGACTTGTCTTGAACTCAGGCTGGTCTTGAACTCATGGCAGTCCTCCTGCCTCAGCCTTCCAGGTGCTGGGATTATAGGCTACCATGACAGGTGTGTGAATTTTATAGACAGCTAAGTTATGTAGAAGTATTGTAGGCAGTCAGACAGGGCTGGACGCTTCAGGGAGTCCCTGCAGAAGATGGGAACACATGGAAACTGGCTGGAGGTACATCTGGAGAAGATTAAAGTCACAATGGCTAGATTTAAGGATTCTTCCCTAAGGGATGGATCAGGAGCTTAGGATTATTGGTCTTACCCTTTTGAAATTTCCCATTATCTCATTATGGGTGGGCCATCTTTTCCCACCCATTAACACTAGGACTAAGTATTAATGATGCCATCCATTTGCCCTTGCTACCATTGGATCAATATTACCTAAACAAATATTCTTGCAATCTTATTAGTTGATCATAATTTTGACTCACATTGCACCCACCTCATGGTTTTGCTTTATAAAACTTTGTCTTCAGGACCACTCCTTTCTCTCAGGATCTATTCCTAATCCCGATTCCTAGTCCTCATTCCTTTTTTCCAATAAATTGTCATATTATGTTCTTTTTTTTTTTAACATTTATTTAGTGTGTGTGTGTGTGTGTGTGTGTGTGTGTGTGTGGTCAGCTCAGCCCACCAAGGGGGCAGGGCTGGCTGGCATGTGGTGCTGGGGGAATCAAACCGTGGTCCCTGTGCTTTGCCAAGCTTGTTCTAAGTAGGTGCTTTAGACCACTGAGCCATCTCTCCAGCCCTGTTCTTTTTTTTTTTTTTTTTTTTTTTTGCGGAACCGGGGATTGAACTCAGGCCCTTGCACTTGCCAGGGAAGTGCTTATTCCACTGAGCCATCTCCCCGGCCCCTGTTCTTTTTTTTGAGACAGGACCTCACTATGTAGTTCAGGCTGGCCTTGAACTTACTCTGTAGCCCAGGCTGGTCTTGAGTTCTTGGCAATCCTCCTGCCTCAGGCTCCTGAGTACAGGGACTACAGAAATGAGCCACCATGCCTGACAGGTTTCCTACTCTTAACCTCTGTTCTTCCGTAGAATTCATTCTTTAACTCTGAGGAACACACACTCGGCATATCTAACACCTAGCATTTCCCTTGCATCATTTAAAGGTCTGGTCTATCCAGTGAAATGAAAGTGGCGGGTGGCCACATGAGTTTACTGAAACATGGCAAAGGCAGTTAATTAAGCAGTGGCAGTTTTGCAGCTTAGCAACAGCCACAAGGATGGGAAAGTTTGAAAAGAAACTACTTAAAGTTGGGGAAGCTTCTTTTCCTCTTTTAAAGTTTGCTTCAGTGTAATGGGCGCTACAAAGTAAAACTAAAAGTTAAGATTTTCCTTTGGAATTAAGTGGCTCCTCATGCGGAGGGCACAAATGGCTCCTCCAGCTCTCCTCCTGCCAGTGAAACAGATGGAATATGTAGATCCTGGCACCAGGAGATCAAGCCCAATTTCATTCCCTTAGGCGAGGGAGGAAGAGGTCTGAATTCTAGGAAAGGATGGAACTATCCTGAAAATGCCTACACTGTATTCTCTCCACATGGTTTCCTGTTGTAAGAGACTCCAAAAACACATATGTGCATGTGGAGATGGTGATTCGAGGCACATGGGCTTCTCCATTTCCTCAGAGCTAGCTCTGAATAAATTATTTTTCCTTTTACCCAAATACATAGCCATATATTTCATCAGCGGTGAGCAAACCAACCCGAGCACATGAACCTAAGTGGCCAAAAACATTTGCCTTGCATGTGTAAGGGACTGGGTTTGAGGTAAGATATAAGAAAAGATAGAAAAGGGACAAATCATAATGAAAGATTGTACTTTTAAGAACGTTACAACTTCCACAACTCACTGATCTTTCCCAAGATGACCCATCCCTGAAAGGCCATAGAGTCTCCATTAGCAAAGTAAAAAGCAGGAGCCTAAGCTAAAGACAACTTCTGACAACATGCTTTTGAATAAATTTACACTCCTTCCCTATCAGACCTATCACTAAAGGCCCAGAAATTGGCCCAACTAAGAAAGTCAACGGCAGGCAGAGGGGGATCCAGAGAATGTTTAAATCATCTACGCAAAAACAAAACGAGCCTATGGCTATAGAGACTGTGTGTCTGGCCACTTTTTCCCAGATTTTTCACCCTTCAGAAAAAGTATAAATGTTACCCACTCCAAACCATAATGTGTCTGATTTCTCTAAGTACACTCCTCTGGAATGTGTGCTGTTATTTTCCTTCTGATAAACCCTTCTGCCTCTTTCTGAAGTGTCACAAAAATTTTTCTGTAATGGGAATTAGCGAATCTGTCACAAAAAGGATGGATTAAATAAATTCCTCATTTCGTCTTTGGGAATTTCTCAGACCCAGCACAGTGACAGGTTCAGTTACCAGCACTCTATACACACAAACATACTTTCAAATGTGGACAGGGGAGATAGCTCAGAGGTCTAAGCCCCTGCCTGGCAAGTGCAAAGACCCGAGTTCGATCCAAATACCTCATGCCGTGCCAACATGGAACCCTGGGAGCGCAGTGTTAGCCACCAAAACTGGGCATAGTGGCACAAGTCTATAATCCCAGCACTGGGGAAACTGAAACAGGATCACTATGAGTCTGAACTGCACAGTGAGATCCTATACCAAATACATAAATAAAATTTTAAAAGGTTAAAAAACTCAAAATGTTTAGCATCCTGTGAGAAATGAATTCACGGCCAGGTGTGATGGTACATGCCTATAATCCCAGAACTCAGGAGGCTGAGGCAAGAGGATCGCTGTGAGTTTGAGGCCAGCCCAGATTACAAAGGCCAGCCTGGACTGACTAGTGAGACCTTGTCTCAAAAAGACCAAAAAAGGTCCATCAGGTGGCACTCCTTGCCCCCACACTCCCTCTCTCTGCCTTTCTTTTCCAGCTGTTGAGATCTTGGAAGCTTTGAAGCTCAGCAAAGAAGAGAAATCCACTAAGAATAATCCATAGAGTGATTTTATTTGAAGATCTTCAGCTGCACCTTGTTAATAGAGCTTTGCATTACCCTCTACGGTAGGTATCCTGGGATGACTTACTGCCTTGCCCATCTCTAGAAACTGCATCCTGCTGTCAAGGACTCTCAGAAGACAGCAGTGATCTAAAAGCAGTAGAGTGAGTAGTCTTGGGGAGGAAGCCACCTTTCTGCTGCCACAGCATCTCTCAACACCAAGCAAGAGCAGACAAGTAACCTGGTCTCATATCTCTGTTTGGAACCAGCCTACCATCTGCAGGATCTAGGGAATTAACTCCTTGTGATAACTGACATCAATTTTGAGAAGAGGCTTCAACTGTGAGAAAATGTCATTCAAATTCGGCCAGCATCTCATCAAGCCCTCCATGGTGTTTCTCAAAACAGAATTATCTTTTGCTCTGGTGAATAGGAAACCTGTGGTACCAGGACATGTCCTTGTGTGTCCACTGCGGCCAGTGGAGCGTTTCTGTGACCTGCGTCCTGAAGAAGTAGCTGATTTGTTTCAGGTGACCCAAAGAGTTGGAACACTGGTGGAGAGACATTTCCAAGGGACCTCTCTGACCTTTTCCATGCAGGATGGCCCCGAAGCTGGACAGACTGTGAAGCACGTTCATGTCCACATTCTTCCCAGAAAGGCTGGAGACTTTCACAGGAACGACAGCATATATGATGAGCTGGAGAAACATGACAAAGAGGAAGAAGATACCCCGGCCTCTTGGAGGTCAGAGGAAGAAATGGCAGCAGAAGCAGCTGTCCTCCGGGCCTACTTTCAGTAACAATGGTGTGAAAGTAATTCAAATCTCAAGACATAAGGAAATGAGCCTCATTCTCTGACTACACAGCATTGGAAATGAAGCTAAGCAAACTTTATTACAGTCTGCAACCCTTTGCAAAGCATTTTTTTGGACTTGTGGAAGCCATTGGAGGTCATGTTTTAATCGTGATGACAGGCTAATCTTCAAGCATTGATGCCCTTCTGCACTTCCCCAGCTCTGTTCTTAAGTATAGAACCTTTTCCAAATTGTTCTTTAGCCTCCATGAAAATAAAATGGCAGTTAAATTTTTTTTTTTAAAGACAAAAGAGAGAAATGAATTCACTGTTTCAGATTCCTCCCAAGCCCCAAAAAACAAAAACTGGACTCCAGAGGCAGCAAAAGTGAGCTTTCATGGACAACCTTGCAAGAATGGCACCCATGCACACAGACAGGTGAACCAGCATGGAGAAGCTGGGTGCTGTTATTCCTAACTCACAGGAGTCTCTACCCTGAAGATCGGATTGCCACCCCCTCATCAGAGACCCTGCTAAATACCCCTCCCAGCACAGCTGTACCTGGGGACTCATAATATCAGCTCTGTTGTGGACAGGAGCCACCTCTCCCTGTGCTTTCCCAAGCCTTGTCCTTGGGAAGCTGTGACCACTTGTGTTCTCTCAAAAAGAGAACAGGCAAGGGACCAGAGCCCCCTCTCTCTGAGCTCCCCCCTCTACACATATTTACAAAAGACTCCATCACCTATACAAGGGAGCTGGTCTGGTTTCTACTGCCAGAGTGGTCCTTCTCAGAGCAAACATTCTGCAATAAATCTCT